GCTAACTAATGCTAGGTCTGGTATTTATGCGATCTTGAATTGGCACGGACGCAGACTGCCGCAAAACACCACTTACACTTGCAGGTGACTTGCGACTGTCGATAGCCGCCATTAGCTTTGTTTACCGCGCCTCGTTTCACAATCAGCTGGTGACCTGGATACGCGAAAAGAGGCCTCGTTTCCAGTCTCTATTTTTAGTGTCTCTGATATTGCAGCGCAACTATACGATCGTTAAAACGTGCTGCGCAATCTGAAGATTGCACCGATCGGTAAATTGCACAGAACTGGTAGGAAAATGGAACGTAATGGAAAATGGAACATACTATAACTATAACAATGGCTAGTTGATTCTTTCTCCCCCCCCCCACCCCACTCACACACTCGAATATATGATGACACCCACATTTATAACATAGAACAAAAGAAAACACTACCATTGGTATAGCTGCTTCATATAGGGATTTATGATCTTAATGAAACTGTTATCCCAAGGAGTGGCTAACTCTCAAGACAGTTCATCATGTTGTTGTGATAGCGAGGTCTTGCTTTCAAGTACTCGTGCGTTATCTTCAGGAGCACCATAAATGCGATGGTTTAAAACGGTAAAAGTTTTGAAGAGACAACGGTATTGTCACTTTACTGCAATGTGGGATAATTCATGATTATGCGTCCAGGCCGTATAGCTGCAGTTAATGTCCTTCCTTTGTTCTGTTTTTTTTTAAATCTTTTTTTTTATCTTTTTTTTTTTCTTTTCATCGCTCTCCAAAACAGCTAATAATGAAATGAATATCATCGGTGTCGGTGGTAAAGTGGCTATATAGGTGCTTCATCGTCGCACACAGGTCACCCCAGTTCGTTTTCAGAGTTAGGATTTTTTTTATTGAGTATCTCGGTCATTATGTGGGATGCTGTATCCCTTCCAACTCGGGTGGGCCCTGACCGCAGAATCAGGCATGGGTGTTGTTGTTTTCTTTCTGAGAACCTTGACATCTCAAGGTCAGTACTGTAGTGATTGTACAATCGGATTGGGTCACGGACTTCTGGGGTGTAAAGGTGGGGGGTGAGGGGAGGGTTGCCGTTACACAATTGATTCTACAAAGGACAAAATATATAGTATTGAGTATCCCCACGTTTCTGTTGGGATGCTCTTCACCTAGGATATTTGGTATGAGTTTTAAGGCTCTCGAGAGATCATAACGTCATGCAAGCGCGGCCTGAGTTGGATCAAGAAAGCTGGGTCTTTGAAGCACCCTCTTAAATTTGCTAATAATTTGTAGCTATGAGATCGTTTTCTGATCCTAGCTACTATTATTATTATCATTATGAACATTCAGTGAAATGACAGAGTGAAATGGTTCGTTATTTTCGGTGGAAGGAAATCGAGTTCCATATTGATATTATAAGCTGTATAGCCCCCAGATCTCGACATTTTCATTGAGGGCAAATCGTGCCTCAGACATCTTCATACATCATTATGACATTGCTACTACGTGCTATACAAATGTTATTGTTATCCTGAGATGTCCTGTTTTAGTACAACAAGTGCGAACTTAGCGCGACGAGAAACGTGTGTGGCTTGATTTTAAAAAATAACAATAAAATACAAACTTGCTTATTCTTAGCAAGTTGAGATCGCATAGCTGGCCTACCACCATTTTAAAAATACCTTTGTATTTTTTCCCCGAAAGCTCGTGGCCATAATGAAAATTGTTCAAAACCCGAAAAATATGCATTAAAAAAACTCCTTTATGCTTAGCAAGTTGAGTACACTATAGTTTGCCACCGCCATTTCAAAATAATTTTGCCCGCGAGCTAGATCAAGTCGTCATATTACGAATGGTTCAAATCTGGAAATGTGTGCATATCTTTAACTGTGCAAGGTCCAGCCAACACTAAGAAAGTTTGCGCTCGTCGCTCATGTCCCGGATTAAAAGAATGGCGACACTGAGCGGTGAAGAGAGATCATGGGATAAAAAGTGGGGAGAACCGTTGTTTTTTTTTTTTTTTTTTGGGGGGGGGTTCCATTTTATAATCGCACTCTACCACAGAATCGAGGCTTCCAATAATTGTGATTGTCATTCTATTCACAATAAGAATGGTATCACGTAATTAGAGTGGCAAATACTATTGGAAGTATCGATTCTATGATCGAGCGCGATTATTCAATCCGCCAAAACCCGGTGGACTATAAAACTGCGTCATTTGCATTCTCAGTTGTGAGACAAAAGGGCATTTTTTTTTTCGTGTTCGCCGGGGATTTAAAATACAGCAGCTAAGGCTGCGAACGGACAACCCTCAGTAAGCGTAATTATATTTACATAGGTGGGAATCCAGGAGGTGTTCTGCAGTTCTGTCAACACAGTTCATCAGCTGGAAATAAAGCAGGTAACAGCTACATAGCTCAAAGACTCAATAATAAATGTGTTCTGTCCCGTTTTAGACTAATATACTGCATTCCAATAGACTGACATTTAAATTGAGATTTTCCAATGATCACAGAGTTTAAGTGGAAATCGCGATTCTGGAGTAAAAACGAGTTATTCGTGTTTTCACGCGGGCAGCGACTGAGACGATGAGCATAAATGGGATAGGCTCTATATGCAAGGTGAATTTTATGTCAAAAACATTTTCTTTTGGATGAATAATATCTGTTCCAAAATATAACCTATTGGTACACATTTTGTGAGAGATATTCAGGGGGGACTGCCCTCCCTATATTTTGCTGAAGGGGCAAAATACTTGTCTTTTAGTTGCGTTGATAGCTCATAAGCCGCTGTTATCAGCACCGGTACAGTTGTATCTGGGGTTTCTTGATATGGGTTCCACAGATAGGAGAAATGTATTAAACACAGTCTCCAGAAGTGTACTTTATTCTTCACTTAGTACATAGACACACACACAGTGTGCACACCCTTCTAAGCCAAGTCTACACTGCGACTGACGATAACTACAGATAACTCTTACAGCTCACGAGGTGGCTTTTTTGGTCTTTGTACTAGATCTATGTTACGCCACTTTCGTGGCACATCAGTGAATACTGGAGCTCATCATGTTGCCGGTTATCATGTTCTCAAGCGAAGGAAATGTTTAGTTTTAGTAAGCGTTTTACAGCACTTCCAATATAATCAAGTCATATAAGTGCTGGGAATTAAATGTGTTACAGGAGAGTGACAAACACAAAAAGGAGGAGAAATAAGGACGATAGATGTTTGATAGGAAAGACGGAGCAATCCACACTAGAGCACACGCCAACCACCCGTGAGAAGGAAATGAACACAACAGAACGCCGATACAACAGTATCCCTGTTGACTGCGCTGCATAATATCTGTTAATGTTTACCTAATTATATTCAACGCAGATCAATACGTTGTCCCATAAAGAACTTTGAAGTTTAATACCTATTTTGAAAACAGAAAAACAACTCAGTTTTCTAACGTTTTCCATTTTATCGTTGTTTACTCATGCGGGCTTCGCACCGTCAGTGGATAAAGCAACATAATGTATTACTTTGCAAGACATGTAGGACTCAAACATGGCTAAAGATTTGATTTACATTACAAGGTGATCATTTTGGTAACATTATCTACATCAAATCTTTGTTGTTTGCTTTTGGAAAATTTCATTTTTAGGTTGACGTACTCCAATTCGGACTCATTGCAAAAGTGAACGAACCAACAAGGATTGCGCAATAAATGTGTGCCTCTTTCCCCCTCAAACACCTGGGAAAAAAACGCAACTCAGTTGAGATATGTTATCTGTCTTAAACAACGAGGTAATATCAAAGGATATGAGACTGGCACTTTTTAAAGATTCTCGCGCTTCTAAGAGAACAGTTTTGACTTTGGTATTCCGTGTGTTTGACTTTGAAGTAAGTTCCAAAAGACTGGTGCACTTTTTATTGTTTAGGACTGCATTACCTCGACGTCTTTGCGACGCTCTCAACTATGTGTGCCAGCCATTTGACGGCGAAGCGGGAACGACATAGGATCGAAAATTCATTTTAAGTCAGCTTTCTGGTAGTTTCAGATATTTTCTATTGTCTGGCCGTGACGTAGATAGACTAGGTGGACTCTTAATCGTGAGATTTCAGGCACCGCGATTCGAGTCTCAGTTGTGTACGACGTTGTATCATCGGGAAAAGTACTTTGACCAGACTGTCTAATTCGGTTCTGTCCTCTCGGAAATGGACGTTCAATTTCGAGGTCTCGTCTCTTTAATACCTTAAAGGTTTTGGAAAGGGCTTTTAACCGTTACAAGTTTGTTTCCGTCCCTTTACTGCATTATCATCGTCTTGATACAGGCTATAATCGTTATTTAGTAGAAAACTGGTATGTCGCACTTAAAGTGTGTTCCCAAACTCAAAGACGAAACGTATTTTTAATAAGGAATGACACTGTCGAGGTTGAATGGTTTCATTACAGGAACGGGCTAAGGCACAGAATAAACTATCGTCAGATATCGAAGAACCAACTCGCTCAAAGCCACATTGGACGATGAATGACCTGAAGCAGCAATTCATGTACACGGATCACACACACACACACACACACACACACACACACACACACACACACACACACACACACACACACACACTCACCACTCACACACACACACACACGCACACTCACACACACACACGCACACACACACACACTCACCACTCACACACACACACACACACACACACTCACACACACACACGCACACACGCACACACACACACACACTCACACACACACACAAACAAACATATTTACCGACTCAATGATAATAAACACATATTATTGTGGTGTCATGTAGATGCCTATTTTTTTAGTATCTCCGTCCTTCCGTTGGGATCCTGTATTCTACTGCAGCCGAAGCAGCAGTGAAATAATATTTAGGGATTGAAGCAACTAGCCTCCTAAATAACCTAAAGTGTATCGAGTAGGAGAAGGGCGAAAACAGGGATGTGGTTGAAACATTTTGTGATAATTAAAGAAATGTTCACTTTGGTTCACAGCAACATGGTAACGAATTTGCCGTAAAAACCAAAAGTGAGGGCTCTCGTGGCCTAGAGGTTAAGGTGTTGGCCTCTCATTCAAAGGTCCCTGGTTCAAATCCGGGTAGCGACCGAAATTTTTTTCTCTAAAATTGTTTCCTGTCACCTCCTTTCCTGCTCTCTAACAATGTTCTATCGTCTGCTTTCGTCTCCTCTTTCTTCTCCCACCCCCTCACCTCCTTTGCCCCCTCCTCTGAGCTCCTGACTCTTTGTGCAACCTTTCTGCTGCTACTCCTTGGCTCTTCCTTACTGCTGTCTTTCTGCCACACCCTTGAACTTCTCGTAGGAAAGATCTACACCTAGTCTACTCCGATAAGGACGAAACATCTCAGAGGGCCCGTGTGCAAGTTGCCCACGTTAAAGATCCCTTGGTGGTCTAAAATCGGTAACGGTAGGCATCGGCCGCCACCTGAGCAAAATTGAAAATTTCCTTCCAAATGAAAATATTAGGTGTGTCCCGCGCGCTCATATGACCTTATGCAGTTGCGATCGATGTAAAACACTTACCCCCACCCCCTCCGAAAAAAAGAAAAAGAAAAAAACACACAACAACAACAACAACAACAACAACAACAACAACAACAACAACAACAACAACAACAACAACAACAACAAACAAAGTCTAACGAGTACATTTTTTTCAGCAGTTTTAAAACGAGACTTTTTAATGAAGCATTCGCCAGCAGTTATCCCCATAGTTTCAAATGTGCCCTTGTTTTTCTGCCTAGTGTTCTGGTCTGTTTGATAGGATATTACATCTCACCTAGCCCATATTGACCCTGAAATGCAGGGTCAAAAACCCAATTTACTAACTGATCTAAATTATACCGATGGGGATGTAAAAACTTCCAATTCCAACTGTATAAACTCTAAAAGTTCCGAATAGTGATACGAACTTCATAAAACACTCATTCTACGTCATGGTAACATTTTATCGAGGAAGTGACAGGAGTGTCATATTGATATTGTCATAATATTATGTCAACCTCATGTTTCTTTTTCTCTTCCTCAGAACCAGGAGGAGAGACTACAATATCGTCACGATGACCCAGAAAAAGTAAGAAGTCCCACTTGTAGTATAACCCGTAGTAATAGTAAGTTTTAAGTTCGAGATGAGCCAATCTATCTATCTATCTATCTATCTATCTATCTATCTATCTATCTATCTATCTATCTATCTATCTATCTATCTATCTATCTATCTATCTATCTATCTATCTATCTATCTATCTATCTATATATATATATATATATCACGATTTGTATCAGGAAAGATTCTTGAAACATTGATGATAGAATCTTTCCACAGTAACTCAGTATTGTCTTGAAGAATCTGTCTTTCATTGATAGAACCAAACTTCAATTGTCTAAAGATCCAGGTGTCTTTTTGACTTGGACATATCTCTGAAGTGTCAAGTGACTGATATAAAAATCTGGTGCAGCTTTCCTTCAATTGTTGTCCTGCTGGATCACTGATAAAACAGCAGCAGCCATATTCTAATGCGTGGGTTGTCTGGGAAAACAAGGCAAAAGACACTCATTCATGAATCAATATTCCGCTCAGAAACCATGAAAGGATGGCTTTTTATTGAATTTGAGCACCTATTAGTTTCATATCTGTAATAACACTGTGCTAACCATGTGTGCTGTTGTTGCTAACAGTGCTTCTTAAGCTTTTTCCCCGAGACAACCCACGTGGCATCCTAGCCCTAGCAGAGACACAAAAGTGCTTGTGTACCAACTAATAACATAGCAAACTGGTTGATGATAACCAAATATTCCTAGTCAGCACAATACCAAGCAATAATATCGACAGCTTTGTTAACAAAGCAAGTGCAAACTAAAAAGCCATAACGTTAAAGTGCTACACGCAGGTGTGTGTGGCGTGATTCCCCTTCTTTCATTAAAATTTTTTCTTTTTTTTTCAGGGGGGGGGGGAGGCGTATGAATTCATAAAAAGTTTCTGAAAAGCTAGGCGAAACAAAGTAAAAAATCTATTTAATGTTTACCTCAAAAGGTGTTGAATTCTCAATCCGTGAGGAATATAAAAGTGCTTATTATGTAGCGTTCTAAGACTTCTTTACAAACTACAGTAACGGTTGACTGGTTTTCTTAACACTGACTGTCTGTCCAACGACATTTTCTATAGCCTTGAAGGTTCGAAATCAGAGTCGAAAACTTATAAAGTGTAATCGTCATTGCCGAAACTTCTGATGGACCTTCCCTTCTGATAAATTGACATAAATATTTCGATTGACTCGTGGCTAGCTGTAGGGTTAATGAACACGTAAATCCTATTTGGAGAAGCATACATACCGATGTCTATGGTTGAACGGTTTTCTGTTTCGCCGTCGCTCGCAGTAGACTCCAGTTTGATTCCCAAGTGGCGAGAATTTATAATGAGCATCTCTGTGGTATTTCTTTTCGGATGCTGAATCACTATTAGTCCAAGTTGGCACTGATAGGCAAGGTGGAAGCCCACCTCCTAAAGGATCTACATTTTGTTAATGGAGGTGTAAAACACATCTACGGACTTTAACACTTTTAGAACGTTACGGACATTTGTCCGATCAGCAGCTGATCAAAGGCAAGGTTGTGGCGTACTTCGAACCTTATAACCTTTGTAGACAATTAATCAAAGACGTGAATCATGTTTGCAATTTTCTGCCCGCCTTTTTAACGTTTCAAAATTAAACACAAAAAACTGTGTAGAACAATCTATATTTGTGAATAAAGATGCTAGTTGATTTTTTTTTAAAGAACCTTGTGACTTAAAATAGACTTTTTCTCTATTGGCCAGAGTTTGTGGTGAAGTGGTTTAACGTTCCACGTAGTTTTTTCCTTGATCTTTTACCCTGTGGATACTAATCCAATACTTTTCTTGTTATGCAGTTGTCTTACCTGGTCATCGCATGCAGGAAACCTGAGTTCAATTCCTGGATTAGTGTATCTTGTGGGACGTTGTATCCCTCTCATCTCGGGTTGGCCCTGACGGACAGGGTCGAAGCCGGCCTCATAAATGTTTTAAGTTATGTCGATGGGGGCGTAAGAATGTATAAT